AAAATGAAGGCAAAATGTTATAAAATCACATTTGCATATAATCTCATTGTTAAGCAATGTTTTTGGCATAAGTATGCATTTTTCTATAAAATTTAAATCATTTTATTGGTGTCCCCTGATTTCATGTCAGCCCTGTTACCCTCATCAAAAAAACCTTGTAAAATAATGTACATTCAAGTGACATCACTTCTAGGAGGTTACATCATCTCTCAACCAGGATTCCTACACTTAAAACACAAGCATGTTTCCCCCTGATTTCATGTCAGCCCTGTTACCCTCATCAAAAAAACCTTGTAAAATAATGTACATTCAAGTGACATCACTTCTAGGAGGTTACATCATCTCTCAACCAGGATTCCTACACTTAAAACACAAGAATGTTTCTCTCTCACTTCTATAATGTTCTATTTTTGATGATTTATGAGGCTTGACTGAGGGGGGCCATGATGCAGTGTCAATACTGTTACCATTTTTAAAACGTAAATTTAAACAATTATTTATTACATAATTTAATATAATCCATATCTACAAGTAAAATCCTTTCAAAGTGTACAACATGTGCTTTTGTGAACTTGACTATTAGCTAGAAATTAGCAAATTAGTTTGAAATAGTCAAACCTATTACTGTCAGTCCTGTTACTTTTCATGGTAACAGGTTTTGACATTGGGGTAACAGGGATGACAGATTAGGTGTCACCCTGTTTTTAAAGATTGTCTGTGTAAAATGCAAACATGTTTAAAGGTCACCCTGGGTGTAATTTTGAGCTAATGCCTATATCATTCAGTGGCATATGAGCACGAGTTACATTTTAGTTAGTATTTTTGTAATTGTTACTATTACTGTTAATAACTGTTAACTGTTAATGACCGGGATAGGATTATCAGTCTCAATAAAACTATATATTTTTTCCATAAATCATTGTCAATAATGCATCCATGTAAATTCAATTACAAACAAGAGCAGCAAGATGACTGCAGACCTTCATCCCAGTCTTGCAATGTTCAAGAAAGATCTGATCATCTTCCTTGCCTAATAATTGAACCAGTTCAGTATATTTGAAGTTCTGTGAGGGGACACAGAGAAACAGATGGAACGCATTATCTATGTAGAAATGTAATGTGCTAAATCAACAATGAACTGACTTAAACTGAAAAATTGACTGTTTACTATTGTCATGCAACGTTGCTAAGTAAGTGCAAAACAATATAATCCAATTTTAAATCGTAAAAATGTACCTGCAGTATAAAACTGCTGTGTAGTGTGCTGAAGAATGTGTGTCCTGTCATCCCTGTTACTCTGGTCAGCTCTGTGACTATGACATCAATCCTGTTACTGTCATTAATTTCATAAAAATTGTAAAAAGTATATTTGATACAGCCTTCCAAGTTTTCCCATTGTAACATTAACTATATTTTATTTTGGACAAAGCCCTTTTTTAATGTCTCTCGTGTAAAAATATATTTTTCTTAATTGACATGTGGTCACCCTCCAGAATTAGAATGTTCTTGGTCATCTGAATGACAATATAAAAATATATTAAAAAAATAAAATCCCAAATTTGAAACAATCCCAGTGACAAGAGGGACTAAAATGTTTCTCATATATGTGAAAACTATCACATAGTTTTAATTAAACTATAGTTTCTAGTAACGTTTGTGTCGGTAACAGGGTTGACAAAAATACCAAAACATGAGGTAGAACAATAGTCATAAAATAATAAATTACATATCCTGAGATGGCACAATACAATTTCTTGTCATTTTTAGTTGTCTTCATTTCGTGGACATTTATAAAAATGTTGATTAAACTTATTTATTTATTTTTAATTTTTCCAAGTGGAAAAGTAAAGTCACCTTTATTTATACAGCACTTTTAACAATACAGATTGTGTCAAAGCAACTGTACAGCATTAAATAGGAAAATAGTGTCAATAATGCAAAATGACAATAGTAAACACTAAATTTTCAGTTAAAGGCAGTTCATCATTGAATTCAGTGATGTCATCATCCAGCTCAGTTCAGTTTAAATAGTATCTGTGCAATCAAGTCGACGATATCGCTGGCATTTAAGTGTCCCCAACTAAGCAAGCCAGCGGCGACAGCGGCAAGGAACCAAAACTCCATCGGTGACAGAATGGAGAAAAAACCTTGGTAGAAACCAGGCTCAGTCGGGGGGCCAGTTCTCCTCTGACCAGGCACTGAAAAGGCACTGATTTCGTGGAATGACCCTATAGCAGAATGATTCTACTTGGAAGGATTTCTACAAGATTTTGGGAATTTTTGCCCATTCATGCAGCAGAGCCATTACAGTTCATCCCAAAGGTGTTTGATGGGGTTGAGGTCAGGGCAACAAATGTGGGGACCAGTCAGGTTCTTCCATACCAAACTCATCCACATCTTTATGGACCTTGCTTTATGCACAGTCATGCTTGAAAAGATAAGAGCCGTACTCAAACTGTTCTCATGAAGTTGGAACATTAAGTTTTCCCTTCACTGGAAATAAGGGGCCTAGCATAAATCCTGAAAAACAGCCCCATGTTTATGCACAACGCGCCTCGCACGTTATCCCTCCTCCACCAAAGTTTACAGTTGACACGATGCAGTCTGGCAAGTAACGTTCTCCTGGTATCCATTAAACCCAGACTCACCTGTCAGACTGCCAGACAGATTAGTGTGATTCATCACTCCACAGAACAGGTTTCCTCTGCTCCAGAGTCCAGTGTTGGTGTGCTTTACACCACTCCATTTGACGTTTGGCATTGTACTTGGGGATGTGAGGCTTGCATGCAGTTGCTCACCCATGGATATCCATTCCATCAAGCTCCCACTGCACAGCTTTTGGCTATGAAGCACTGTCAAGAGCATACCAAACCAACAGGTGGAGATATAACCCTAACTGTGAAGCCATGTTGGCCAATCAGAAGCATGACAAAAAAGCGTGCACTCTGATGTCACAAGCCAAAATCTCCAGTTTCACAGGCTACATGACAACAATGCAGCCAGAGTTTCTGAAAATCTTCACCCTGGCAGGAGTTTTCAAAAAGGTTCGGTTTCAGTGACATGATACTGCGTTTGCATCTGTACAAACAGCCAAACTGCATAGAAAAAGCTGTGGTTTTGAAAATTCCTGTGTTTGTGTGGACAGGACCACAGTATATATAAAGTGAATAATACACCAGTTTTATGTATAAAATAAATGTCTCCGTATGTCCGTTTTAAAAAACAACAGCATTTGTTATTTTAAATATGTGCACCCATTCATATGTTCTGTATGTTTCTTACGTTTCTCTGTCTTTAGGAGAGGAGTGTATTTCACGTAAAGGGAAATGGTTTACGCCCAGTATGTTTGAGAAGTTTGGAGGAAAAGGGCATCACAAGAAGTGGAAGGGTAGCATCTATTACAAGCCATCAAATGGCCTTCAACAAGTTAAATTACTGAAACTCATTCAAGTATGTACACAGCTAGTGTAAGGTCTGAATTTATTTGACATTTTTATGAACATATGTGAACCTCATCTTATTTATATGAACTTTTCCTTTTTTCTCCTAGAATGGGTGTCTTTCAGAATTTGGACAACAGAGGGAGTCAATCAGAGAGGTATTTTGTATATACAGTACCAAAGTTATAAGCCCATAGGCTTTAAATCAAACCATATTCATATGTTGTAGTTCAGCCTCACAACAGTGATTGTATTCTGTGGATTATGAATCAACTTTGATATTTTGGGCTTTTTTGGCTCTACAGATTACTTTTGACAATTATCCATTAAGTTATTATCATGGAGAAATGTTTTAAAATCACTACCATTATTACCACTATTTTACCATAGGTGACACCGACTCTGGAATCACCTGTATGTGGAATTGAAGAGGAAACAGTCCAGCTGGGTGAGTTTGAATCAACATTTGCATTTCAGATTCATTAGTTAGTGATCTACCATTAGTGATCTGATCTCTGTCTCAACATGACACTATTTACTTTTTATTACCTGTTCTTCAGTTCTCTGATCCCCACTATACTTGCTTGAGGACATTTTGCGCATATTAAGCCAGATTGCTAAATCTAGATTGCCAAAGACAGAGCCGATCCTAGACTTCTGGGGTGGGGGGACACAAACATGCCAAATATAAAAAATTAAAGGATTGTAATGTAAAAGATTATTATTGTGTAGGCTACATAAATGTAAAAATGCCTACATGTCATAATGTATAGTCATTGCATGTATCAGAATTAAGGCTACCTATTTGCTTGCGCAGGAGCAGGACCCCTACACATCTTGCGTATTTTGCGTATAGGGAGGATCGGCTCTGGCCAAAGAGCTTTTTCTCTCATTGTTAGTGTTTCTGTTTTTTATGTGGTCATCTACATTGACCCTAATAATGTTTATGGTTTATGTTTGTTTTCTACCACATACAGACAGTTCTTCAGATGAGTCTGTATCTGTTGCTGAAAAAGTCAAAATGGTGAGATGTGCATGTATTGATCAATTGTAAATTATTATTTTATGTGTATTATCCTACTTTGGAGAGTTGAGTTTAGCCAAAGTCCCTTTAAGGCAACATCAAATTCAGCAAAACTGAAATCTGACAACAACTGTATCATAAATGTTGTTTATTTTGCTCAAATAGCGTAAAAAAAGCGTATTTTTCAGGCTAGACCAGCCAGTGCACTTGCGAACGTCTCAGAATGCAGACGTGTTTCTGTTTCTATAGCAACCGGGACTACTAACGGCAAGCTGCAGTGACGCCCTGACTTTACTGATTATAAGGAAGATGAGTGGCTTCTGGCCGAAAAAAGGGGCCGTCCACGACTTCGTCAGCTCCTCATGCACTTCCGGGAAAAAAGGAACCGGGACAGAGAGCAGTTGCGAGCAGTGCTCCACGCCAAAAAAACAATCATACAGCATCAAGGGCTTGGGACTGGGAGGCGTGCACACCTCCAGCCCGGGAAAGCATGGCCATCACATCCGGGTCAGATTCGGCAGCGGCGACAACACCCGAGGGGGGCAGCCCCGCCGAATCTTCATCCTCGGAGGACGATAGCCCATCCCCCGATGCCGCGATCAACATCCGATCCTCCGGCGGCGCACTGAATGAAATGCTGGGACCTTCACAAGCCGGGCCAGCGAAATCACTCAGGAGCCGCACAAGACAGCCGCTGCGGGAGGAGACAGAGGAAGGGTGCCACTCTCATCCCCTTGAGGAGAGAGAGGCGCGATCACAGCGCTGTCATGGTCATACGCTCACAGTGAACCAGCCACGAACACAGCTTCAGTGTGTTGGATGCCCAGACACTGAAGACAACGATCATGGCCGTTGACAGAAGACAGATAACAACTGCAACCAAGAGGACATGGACAGAGCGGCATCTTTAAAAATATGTGAGCCATCTGTGATTTGCTCTTTTAGTTGAAGAGCAAAGGGGAATTTTTTTAGTGCCCAGTGGAATCACTGATGACAGGGACACCGCTGTATGCGCCGTAACGCCAACCAGAACAGCCTCTTCTCTTTCCAGTTCTCAGAAATGATTGGCTTTGTGGAGTTGAAATTCATTCACCCACTCGGCTCCGAAGCAAAAATCTGAATGAGTGGATGCACCTGTCGTCTCTTTATACCCATATGCATGGGGCGTGGCTCAGCATGCAAAATCCACTAGCCAAATTTAAAAGCGTATTTTTCAGGCTAGACCAGCCAGTGCACTTGCGAACGTCTCAGAATGCAGACGTGTTTCTGTTTCTATAGCAACCGGGACTACTAACGGCAAGCTGCAGTGACGCCCTGACTTTACTGATTATAAGGAAGATGAGTGGCTTCTGGCCGAAAAAAGGGGCCGTCCACGACTTCGTCAGCTCCTCATGCACTTCCGGGAAAAAAGGAACCGGGACAGAGAGCAGTTGCGAGCAGTGCTCCACGCCAAAAAAACAATCATACAGCATCAAGGGCTTGGGACTGGGAGGCGTGCACACCTCCAGCCCGGGAAAGCATGGCCATCACATCCGGGTCAGATTCGGCAGCGGCGACAACACCCGAGGGGGGCAGCCCCGCCGAATCTTCATCCTCGGAGGACGATAGCCCATCCCCCGATGCCGCGATCAACATCCGATCCTCCGGCGGCGCACTGAATGAAATGCTGGGACCTTCACAAGCCGGGCCAGCGAAATCACTCAGGAGCCGCACAAGACAGCCGCTGCGGGAGGAGACAGAGGAAGGGTGCCACTCTCATCCCCTTGAGGAGAGAGAGGCGCGATCACAGCGCTGTCATGGTCATACGCTCACAGTGAACCAGCCACGAACACAGCTTCAGTGTGTTGGATGCCCAGACACTGAAGACAACGATCATGGCCGTTGACAGAAGACAGATAACAACTGCAACCAAGAGGACATGGACAGAGCGGCATCTTTAAAAATATGTGAGCCATCTGTGATTTGCTCTTTTAGTTGAAGAGCAAAGGGGAATTTTTTTAGTGCCCAGTGGAATCACTGATGACAGGGACACCGCTGTATGCGCCGTAACGCCAACCAGAACAGCCTCTTCTCTTTCCAGCTATCAGAAACTATTGGCTTTGTGCAGTTGAAATTAATTCACCCACTCGGCTCCGAAGCAAAAATCTGAATGAGTGGATGCACCTGTCGTCTCTTTATACCCATATGCATGGGGCGTGGCTCAGCATGCAAAATCCACTAGCCAAATTTCATTGGCGTCTTCTCTTAAAATCAGAGAAGATTGGGGCTCCCGAGTAAACCCCTAATGTCGACACGACATAACTTGTAGTGACCGACAGAAACTATATGAGTGACAAGTCTTGGGTATTCTATAGTCTTTGGATTAGCATATGCTAACAATTTATAGCAATAAATGGAACTATATTAATTTATATTATTATTGTTATTATTATTGACAGAATGTCATAACAGCAGTAGACTCTGCTTAATATTCTATAGTTTACAATTTAGTCAATTAGACAGGTATTTTGTACATACAGTACAAGTGCACAAGTTAGAGGCTAAGCCATAAAGCAAACCATATTCATATGTTGTAGTTCAGCTTCACAACGGTGATTGTATTCTGTGGATTATAAATCAACTTTTATATTTTTTGGAATGTTTTTTTTTTTTTTTGCTTTATAGATAAACTTTTGACAATGATCCATTTTTTATTTTTATTTTTATTTTTTTATTTATTTAGTTGACAGGGGCATTGTACATTAATAAAACATTCCTGTAAATATACCAGAATTAGCCAAAGGCTATTTTTAATCAGTATTCCCTGGACAAGATGTTACAAGTCACCCTAAAAGAAAATGTAATTAAAAATACATACGAGAAAATTTTATAATTACATAGTACAAATCATATTAACATATTATCATGCTGAAATGTTTTAAAATCACTACCATAATATTTTACCATAGGTGACACAGACAGAGTCCCGTAAAAGATTGTTTTCCAAGACTCTGAAAAAACCTGTGTGTGGAATTGAAGAGGAAACAATCCAGCTGGGTGAGTTTGAATGAACATTTGCATTTCAGATTTATTAGTTAGTGATCTACCATTAGTTATCTCTGTCTCAACATCACATCATCTACTGTTTATTACCTGTTCTTTAGTTCTCTGATCTCTACTATACTTGCTTAAGGATGTTTTGCACATATTAAGCCAGGTTGCTGAGTCTAGATTGCCAAAGAGATTTTTCTCTCATTGTTAGTGTTTCTGTTTTTTAGGTGGTCATCTACATTGACCCTAAAAATGTTTATGGTTCATGTTTTTTTTCTACCACATACAGACAGTTCTTCAGATAAGTCTGTAGCTGTTGCTGAAAGAGTCAAAAAGGTGAGATGTGCATGTAGTGATCAATTGTAAATTATTGCACAAGGATTGGAATTGAGAACCGCTGAATTAACTCAAATAACTAACTTTATATTTAACCTTCTCCCTCAGTTACTGAAACGTACCTAATTACTGTGCCCACATATCCTCCATTAATACACGAACCATTGCTTTAATCTTATCCTTTCTTTTTGGCACAGAACAGGAGAGAATCTGTAAATAAAAATCTCAGTAAATGGATCACAGAACCTGAAGAATCTACTGCCAATGCTAGAGGTTAGTGAGCTCTTTTATTTTCTATATATTATGTTATTTCTCTTATTTTGACCTTTATGATTTTTAAAATTCCATATTTTTACGAGACTGTGAAGACCCATGGTTTCTTTCACATCTCTTGTTTTTGCTTCTCATTAGAATAAGAATATTTATAGTTGAACAGTAACCATCGGCCTTTCAAAACTCTTACCAGTCTCTGATCCCCAAGATACTTGCTTGAGGACATTTTGCACATATTAAACCAGGCTGCTGAATCTAGATTAACAAAGAGCCTTTTCTCTTATTGTTAGTGTTTCTGTTTTTTATGTGGTCATCTACATTGACCCTAAAAATTTTTATGGTTTATGGTTGTTTTCTACCACATACAGACAGTTCTTCAGATGAGTTTGTATCTGTTGCTGAAAGAGTCAAAATGGTGAGATGTGCATGTATTGATCAATTGTAAATTATTATTGTATGTGTATTATTGTATGTGTATTATCCTATTTTGTAGAGTTGAGTTTAGCATGTGCATGATTATGTATAACCATAAATGGAAATATATACATTATTATTATTATTATTATTAATGACAGGATGTCATAACAGCAGTAGACTCTGCTTAATATTCTATAGTTTAAAATAAGAATAAATAATAATAATTATTCTATTAAATAATAATGTGTAAGCAACAGCTTGACACTGGAAGAATTCTGCTCACATTCTGAGGGAGTTATTAAAAATAACTAAATATGTACAGTACAATTACCCAATTACTAACTTTATATTTCACCTTCTCCCTCAGTTACTGAAATGTACCCATTTACTGTACCCACATATCCTCCATTAACAAATGAAGCATTGCTTTAATCTTATCCCTTTTTGGCACAGAACAAGAGAGAATCTGTAATTTTAGCTGAAACTCTCCGTAAAAAGATCACAGAACCGGTAGAATCTACTGCCAGTGCTAGAGGTTAGTGAGCTATTTTATTTTCTATATATTATGATATTTCTCTTATTTTGAACTTTATGATTTTTAAAATTCCATATTTTTATTAAACTGTGAAGACCTTTGGTTACTTTCTGTAACAAGGAGCGTGACAGCGGGGCTGAGGATACACTTGCAGGCTTTATCATATTTTTGGTTGTACAGGCAGTTTCAGTAATCAGCAATCACAACAACATCCAAGGCGAGACAAAAGAGTAATCAATAAAACAGGCAATGGTCAGGGCAGGCAGTAACACAATCATGGAAAACCAGGTAAAGAATCCAAGGTCAAAAAACATGAAGGCAAGGCAAGGAAAGGAAAGGTAAGGAAACACAGGGAAACACCAAAACGGAAAGGAATGCAGTAACAAACATACAAACTATAGGCCTACTCAGCAAAGAGTATGAGCAAGTGTCCAACTTAAATAGTCCTCCTGATTGGAAATGGGGTGTGTCTGTAAATTAGTTCCTAGGCAGAGGGTTATGGGAAAATGGAGTCCAGGGTAGCGTGGCCTCTGGTGGAGCTCATGTGCACTCCAGCTAGATATTGTGACAG